TAGAAAAGGGGGATTCAATCTTTGGAGTAAAGTTGCTACCGCAATCCAGAACTGGATTAGCATGACTCCTGTGGTGGTATATTGGACCAATGCTTCATTCGACTCTGAAAGCATTTGTGGAAATGAATTAACTTGACTAATACATTCATAGTAAATCTTATGTGAATCTTCAAAATGTTTTCGAACAAAATGGATTTATTGTTCCTGTTGTGTTTTTAATTTTAAAAAAGATAATATATGTTTTCTTTTTAGGAAATACAAAAAAGCAAAAAATCAGCATGTTTTCATGGCACCACCATTTCAAAATAATTGTGATTATCTTTCTAGGACCCTTCTACATGGACACATACAGTGGTACATTGGTTCATGAATGTAATTCTTACAATTCTGGTTGCAAACCAAATTTGATGAGAACTTAATCAAATTTCAACATAAGATCAACATTGAACCTAACCATTGAATTCATTTCGGTTCTCGTCCAGTTCTCTTTGTGACCAGAATTGTGGAAAGAATTCAGTTCATGAATCAAGGGACCATTGTACTTACATTTACAAAAATCCAACCATTATTTATATTCTAATTATAATCAGATTTTTACAAAAGTTAACATGAAATCATCCTCAGCACAATATTTTCATGTGAAATATCATGAAAAAAGATGAAGAGAAATCAAGTGTATTATACTAAATATAATCAACCATTTGTTCTTAAGCCTTTGTGCTGCTTCCAATTTATTTTTCTTTTAAAATATATTTTGAAAACCATCTTTAAATAATTCTTAGAGGGCTGGGGATTTAGCTCAGTGGTTCCACTGCCTGCCTTGCAAGTACAAGAACCCAAGTTCTATTCTCAGTACCAATAAATAAATAATAGTAATAATGATTCTTAGAAGTGGATTTCCATAAAAGCACCAATTTAAAGACACAACAGCAAAGTTTTAATTCATCTGTCTGTCCAGTGAGAACCTACTTTTATGTCTGGTAAAAGTGTTCTGGCCATTTGAGGCTCCACAATCTACAAAGAGACAAAAAGTCCTAATGCCTAACAATACATAAGAAAATTTGTTTGCATGGCTTCATAATATGATTGGTCTTCTAAAGTATTTGTGCCTTTGTTAGAGGAGGAAACTAGTTATTTTAATGTTTTATTACCAAAGTTGATTATTTTCATAAATACTGGCTATTTGTATTTATCTCTTTTACATTTCTACTCCTATATGTTTGTGATACTTAATAATTACATTCATCTTGGTGAATGATGCATTCATTACATTTTATCTTGATCATTTTTCTTCCCTTTCTCCCTCTCTGCCTTCCTTCTTCCCTCCTTTCCCATATCCTGTTCTCATATTCAGAGACTAACTCTCTGTTTCCTACTATTTGTATTTAATATTCACATTTTTTTCTCTTTGATTGCTTATAGTAACCACTATTGGTATATAGTGGTATCAGGCAATAATTATCATGCGAGAGAAAAGAGATATTTATTAACTGTATGAATTATCAAACATATTTATGATAATTTAAGCCTTTTAAAACAATGTGCACATTTCCTTTTTAAATTTAGCAAATAAGAGTGCTCTAAAAGATATAAACACTGGATATAAATCATATGACTGAAAAAAACCATTGTTCAACTTATGGTATTGTTTTTTAACTGTGTTATGCATGTAAAAGAGCTGACATTTTGATGTTTGAAATCTTTTAGTTATGAATATCAACTAAACTCTTCTAAAAATGGCCTCATTGGCAGATCAATATTAAAATTACAGCTGTATTTTCATTTTGGTTATGCTTTATCATTTCTACCTTTCATGAATGAAAAGACAGTGGGATACAATGATCCTCTAGAAAATGCTCTTCCTGAAGCTGTCTCTACTAGATTCAAAAAGCTATGAAGAATGTTTGCAATTTAGAAGAACGTACTTTGCAAACAGTGGTGGTAATACTTCTTTCTTTAGCTCTTGTATTCGTGCTAGTTACAAAACCTCCCTGGAGCCACCAGGTACCTGTTCTGAGAGTGCCAGTTTGCTCATTGTAAAGTTTCTTGAAGTCCTCCATCCATAACTCTGGTTTCTGCAGCAACTCTCCAAGTCCTAGTGTAGTCCAAAAGGCCGCAGGGTTGGTAGGGCAAGAAGGAGACCTCTGTGACTTAGGCATTTCCTGTCTTCTGTGACATTTTCTCTAAATGAACTGATGAATTTAAAGTGTTTCATGGGGCACTGCACGGCAAAATATTGCTTGCCTGTTAAGGACCTTGCTGCTCTCTCGCACTTGTTGTGTGCTTGCTGTGTGCCAGGATAAATATTTAAATGCTAATACTATCTCAAAATTTACGTACTCTGGTGGGGGGAATCTCTTGTTTCCTCCATTTTACACAGATGGAAATGAAACCTTGAAGAGGCCACATGATTTGTCTAGGATTTTCTGGTTATTAAAGAGCAATTCCTTGAACGGGGCTGTTTTGCCTCTGATGTCTTCTGGTATGCTGTGTCTTCAGATACAGCCACATTTTAAAAGGCCTGGAAATCAGGAAGTTTGTTTTCTCTCAGTATGATGCAACTACTTTGATTTTTCTAAACCTCTGTATCACTAACGGTATCTATTAACCTTGCTGGCAGCTGGGAGGGAGTGCAATTTGATACTGAGAAGAATAAAGAAAAAACTCCAGTGGTAATTTAATTTAAAAGCTAGATCTCAAATGTCCTTTAGCAGTGTTGTGAGCTGAACTGTATATTCTCCACCAAACAGAATAACATTCTAACCTCCAGTACCTCAGATAGTGCCAATGTTTAGAGATAGGGCCTCTGAACAGGCAAATAAGATAAAATAGGGTCTCATTAAGCCAATATGACTAAGGTCTTCATAAAAGATAAGATTAGGACACAGACCAGCACTGAGAAGACACCATGTGAAAACAGAGAAGGTAGACATCTATAAGCCAAAGAGGTCCTAAAAAGGAACCAACCCGGCCAACCCCTTGATCTTGGATTTCTAACCTTCACAAAGGTGAGGAAATAAATTTCTGTTGTTGAAGCCACTCAACCTACTATGATACTATGTTATGGCAATCCTAACAAATTAATACAAATGGAGTTGAACATTTACTCATATCTAAAATTCAGATCCTTTTGATTCAAAATCCTTCTTTAAAACTCAGAAATCTAGGCCAGAAAAAGTTACAGGTCAAATCCAGTGAGAAAAAAAAATCTATTTATTTCACAAATTATCTTACTGTAATGGAATTTTACTGCTCCAAATGGAGCATGACCGAGAGGCTCACAGGGGGACTTGACATGTCAGTGATTATAGGTTGGGCATTTTTAAGGAAGCAGTGTTGGATCTGAAGGAAAAGTGTTGAAGCTTTCTAGATTTATTAATGCAGCCACTACACTGTACTTACTGAAAAGAGTAAGACTTTGCAAAATCCCACTAACTTCACTGTGAATGGACAAATGCCCATGACTGGGAAATGATAGAAATGTCTCCTGTTAAAATCAGCAGAAATTATATGCATGACTAATGGGAAGAGATCTCAAAAAAGAAAAAGAAAGAAAAAGACTGAGAAATAAATTAAATATTATCAAAAGGCATTCAAAGGGACTGTCTGTGGCCAAAGTCCTGTTTACTTTCAATTTACTAAATATTTTTAAAGTGTATGCATGGTATTGCGAGGAAAATTAAAATCATAAATTGACCCTGATCTCAAATACTTCTTTACAAGTTATGAGAAAAAAGACACAAACTCAAATGGCCATAATTTCATGTAAGTTTTGATAAACTTCTATAATGGAAAGAAAAATGTAGTATGGAATCACGGTCAACAGAGAAGGTAATTCTAGGCTCACTGGAACAGAATTGCTGGTAGAAATGCCATTTGTGTTGGGACTGGAGGTTGACAGGTGAAACTGCAGAGGCAGAAAGTTTCAAGGCAGATGGATTAAAACAAGGAAAAACAGATGTTCTTTCTTGAGGGCAAATCATGGTCAGTGAAAAAGCAGGAGTCTGTCATGCTTACTTGAGAAGTTGTATTGAGAGATAGACCATTGACCCTGTGCTTGAAGTCAAAGAACCTGGGTTTGAGTTTTGTGTTCACCATTTCTTAGATTTATGACTTCAATCTTTCTGAGTCTCATTCTTCATCTGTGGAAATCTCTACATCAGAAAGCCTGATACACAATAAAAATTCAGTAGATGTCACCTGAACCTATATAATTCAGACTTGATCCTGTAGAAAATGGAGCGCACAGAAAAATTTTGAGCATGCAAATAAGATGCCTAGAACTAGACACTTGAAAATTTATCCCAGCAATATGTGTGTTGTATGAATCAGAGAACAGTCACCATGCAAGAAGGAAGACTCATCAGGAGAGTGTCAGATTAGTGCAAAATTGAGGCAATGAAAGCCTAAAGCAGGTTTCTACTGGAGGAATGGGAAGTAGATGATGGTGTAAGAGACTTCAATGGAGAGTAAGTGGCACCGGGCTATACATCCTATGATGCAAAATATTGTTCATAAAACCAGATTCTGAACCTGTGTTTCTTTCTTTTTTTTTTTTTTCTTAATACCAGGAATTGAACTCAGAGCCTTTGCCCTTGCGAGGCAGGCAGTGGAACCACTGAGCTAAATTCCTGACTCCTGTGTTTCTTTTTTTAAGTAATATTTTCCTCTGGGAGCTATCTCTATGGATTCTCAGCTACCACATCTTTCATAAACTATTTCATAAATCAATAAAACCTGTTAGCTGATTAGATGAGAAAGTAATGAACATAAGGAAAATAGAAAAATTGAAAATAACATGAAATGAAAAGCTTTATGTATTAGTAGATTAGTCGACAACACCATTACTAACAATGCAGAAGAAAGGAAACTGAAAAAGCTTGTGGGGAGAATATCAGTGTTATTTCTAAGCTTCTTGGGCTATCTTTCAATTAGACATATATGAGTATTCAAAAAATTAGGTATAAGATTTAGAAACAAATTTTTTCTTCAATTTATAGATTATTTTCATTGGCGATTCAACCAACAGAGGGATGATGTACTACCTGATCGAAAGAGTGAACGAAACCCTGCAGGAATGGCAGAAGCTGCATGGTACTAAACTGTATCTCAATGTCAATGGTGGAAAGACTCTGATCAGTTACTCCTACTACCCCCAGTTCTGGATAAGCTCTTCACTGAGACCAACATTTGAGAAAGCACTTGAGCATCTCTTGCAAAGGTACAATGGAACTATTATGAATGGCGCAATGCCACAATGTACGGATGTTTTACTACCAGTTATAATTGCTCACTATATATCAAATGCACTGAAAAGCTTAGATACCTTGTAATGTGGCTGAAAATGAGTTACAAATGACAAGGAGGTCCTGTGATCAGGAAGTCAGACATGGTTCAGTGAAATGTGAGGCCATGCAGTTAAAATGTTTACCATCTGTTTTAAAGCAACATGTGTTGTTTTTCTTTCTGGATTTCAGATCACGTCCACTAGAGAACACTGGCAAAACAGTATTGGTTGTTGGTGGTGTTCAGTGGCTTAATTCCAATCACCTGCAAATTATTCACAAGGTTTTGAAGAGGTAAATGTATATAATAATGATTGTCATGAATATTCTAAATTTTGTAAAGGTTGTATTGATATGACTTTGTCCAGATTTTATTAGAAGAAAATTTTGTAATTTAAAATTAAGAATTTAAAACCTAGTTTAAAATATTTCAAAAAACTTTTCCATTCAATCACAACAGGACTCTCAGTATCTAATTTTAAATGTAATGAAGATCAAAATATGACTATTTGACACAACCCTATCCACAAAAGCTTGCCCTAATCCACAAAGGTAGCCTCAAATCTATAAAATGGGAATTTAGCCCTATGTTCTATTTATCACACTGTAAAAGAATTATGCTCTATTTTTTTTTCTGTAATTAAGCATCTAAAATGCAAATGAAGTTTGTGACTTTAGAATTTTAATTATTTCATTCAGGGAAAATTTACTTAATATCCTAGTAATCATCAAAACTTTGGGAATTGGATTTCACTTGCCAGTGGATGGAGTACATTACTTAACACAGGTAAGCTCATTGCTTCTAGGCTATGGGAACTTCATGGTTCTTGGAAGTGACCCACAAGACATTATTCAGTATTCACCAACTTTCCTAAAATCCGAAAGAGATCGTGTACTTAGAGATTATAATTTCAACTAAGTTATAATTATTCTTGGAGACAAAGAGACCCTGGCCTACAAATAGCTTCTAAATAATGCGCTGTGCTCATTAAACAAGAAAGGAGGTGTCAACTATGCAAAACAAAGAGTGGAGGCATAGACGAGGGAGATTAAGTATCCTGTATCCCACCAGGGTTTCATGCATATTTCGAGGATACATTAAAAGGCTTTCCTTTCTTCAGGTTCTTAATGAAACCACAAGTGAAACTGTTAGTACCAATGAGCCTTTGGAGAAAGAGTGACCTTTTGATCGTGAATACTTAAAAAATGTATCTTCGAAATTTTATCTTGTTTTTCCCTCTAATCGGACATTTATAAGTGAAGACCTTGGGCCTCTGATCAGTTCTTAAAGAAGATAGCAAATTCATCTCAGCATTCATAGAAGCCTCAGAACAAAAAAGCAGACATCCAGAAGTCAGAGAACCAGCTGCTCCTACTCAAGTGAGCAGAGTGCACGAACAGTCCGAGGGCTATGTGCCATTGCAGAGCTGTTGTTCAGGGGAGCACCGGGGATTAGGCAGGCAGGAAACTTTCCACTTAATATGGAAGGGCCTTTTCATTTTTGTGTTTGTGTTGAGTGCTCTTAGCTTTTCCCAGCATAGAATACAGGATCTCCCTCTCCTTTCTCAAAAATGTATCTGCCTGAATGCCAGATGTTTATGATGTAAAAAAAAAAAAAAAAAGAATTGGTAAAAAGTGGCCTAAGTAAAAACCTCCAAGTTCAGCGTTCTGGTGGCAGCAGGGGTTAAGGCAATTTAAAATGAGTAAATCCTTCAACACCTAGAGTATCTGAAGCATTTAAGATTACCAGGGGAGCCGGGGAGCCGGGCGTGCGTGGGGGTGCAGCGTGGGGTTGCACGCCTGTAATCCCAGCACTTGGGAGGCTGAGGCTACATAGTGAGTTCCAGGTCAGTCTCAACTACATAGTGAGACCCTGTCTCAAAAAAAAAAAAAAGATTACTGGGGATCAAGATGGGCACCTTTGATAATTTTTGCTATGGGTTATGAATTGGTCACTTTTTATGTTATTTTAAGAGTATCCATCAAGATTTTAATTCCTGCTTGAAGAGTCCAGTAGCACTATTATGCTTCTTTTGATTGCAGCTCTTTGCAGCATCTGGAGACCATTTTGCCCTGCTCATATTTAAGATACTAACTCACAATCCTCTCATCTCAGCAACTACATCTTCAGCAAGTGCTGTGTCCCAGAACTATAATAAAGATTATGTCTACTACCAGAGTTTTGCTGGTGTTCCTCACTCTTTTCAGATGAAGTGAAGGCGAAAGGAGAGACAAGGAAGAACAAAACATGGCCAGAAGGAGAAAGTGATAATAGCAATGAAAGCAGAACTTAATTCCTCATCACGTGCTCACATGGCCAGTCTCGCCTCCCCTGCAGATTTAACTTGCATCCCTTGCTCTAAAAACTCACACACGCATGTGCACACACATAAGCGTTCAGTCCCCAAGCTGAGGAGTTTTCCTTCTCCAGCATGCTAAACTCACACTCACCTCAAGGCTTTTGCAATCACTATTGCCTCAGCTTGGAACCCTCTGTCCTAACTCCCTCCCCTGTATAACTTCCAGGCACCCCTCATGTTTTAGTCTAAGTGCTCTTTTCTCTGGGAGGGCTTTCTGGACATACCAGATTAATTTGGCTCCTCCTTCCATAAGCTCCTTTAATAGTGTCTATGTCCTCCTGTCACTCAACACATAACAATCCTTGGTTGTCCGTGTATCCTGTAATCTGTGACAGCAAGGATGTGGGGATGAGTGAGTGGCTTGCATGGCTTACCCTGTGGCCCCAAGTGCCGAACAATTCTTAGCACATATGAGACTCTTCAAAAATACCTAGTATAGAAATGAATGAATTTGTTTGTCTTGGATGCACCCCTTTTTGTCTGAGAAATATATTACCCTGTTCCATTGATGACTTACACCTGAATCATGGCAGAAATTTTCTTTTGTTACAGATAATCAGTTTGCACCTGCCTTTATGCTTTGTGCTTTTCCTTACCAGGGACACCTCAGGAAGAATCATCCCAGCTCTAGAACTCAAGATGGATTAAGGGAGAGCCTCTATGGCTACTGCAGTACAAATCAAATTCTTCCTCTTACACAGTTCACAGTTTTCTCCCGCATACATGTCAATCCCAAGAATGCTCTTCTCTTTCCCTCTTGCATCCACATTTCTGTTTCCTGTAGAACTGATTTTTCTCTAGAAAATTTTCTCTAGAAACTGCTTAAAGTTGTACATACCTTCCATAACCAGGTACATTAGAATTGAGAAACGATTTGAAAAGAAGAACCCTACGCACAGTATTGAATATCTCAAATTGCACTTTCCATATGCCTTTGGAGGCCCAGAGCAAATCTGCATGTCTCTTTACCTCCAGATTGCTTTTGAGCCTTTTCTATTTGCTACTGTTATTTTGACGGGAACACTCTTCTTTGAATGTAATGTGAGACTACGTATGCAACACAGTAGAGAAGACAGAAATTTTTATGCATTTGTACTGCTTCTTCTGACCTTACAATTGCATTAACAAATGCAAGTCATTTTTTTTTACCTAATAAATGAAAAAATCCAACTTGCCCTGTAGAAAAGAAAAAGGGAGGGCAATTTCTCCCCTGTGTTAGTTTGGCTGCTCCAAAATCAACAGCAAGACACAATTGGCACAGTGAGAGGCTGCACTAGAGGGAAAGGCTGGGAAATGTACAGAAAGAGGCAGGAACCATTTCAGACCGTAGCAGCAGATGCACATCATTCAGTCCTGCACCAAGGCTCTTCTCCCCACCTTGTGTGTGTTGGGAACTGTGTTTGACTATAATATGCTTGGTACAAAATACAAAGAAGGATGAATTGGGTAGGAATTTATAGGTAACCTCTGGGAAACTCTTTGCCAGATCATTAAGTCCTGAAGCTAGAATAGTTAGTAACATCTCCTCTGTCTTAGTCGCTTTTTGTCCCTGGGAAAAAATACTCAACACCCACAATGTAAAAGTGGAAAAGTTTACGTTGCCTGATGTTAAAGGTTTTAGTCCAGCCGGACATGGTGGTGCATGCCTGTAGTCCCGGCACTCAGGAGGCTGAGGCAGGAGGATCGCTGTGAGTTCGAGATCAGCCTGGGCTACATAGTGAGTTCCAGGTTGGTCTCAACTACATAATGAGACCCTGTCTCAAAAAACCAAAAGAAAAAAAAGTTTTCATTTCATAATGGGCTGAGATAGGAAGGCATAAAGGAATGGCCTGTGGTGGGGCAGAGAGCTGCCCATGACAGAGTTGCCAGGAAGCAGAGAAAGAAGGGAGGCCAGGGAGAGATGCACCCTGCACAGTCGCTACCCCTATGACCTGACTTTTCTGACCAGGCCCGGCCTTCCAACAGCACATTTAGCTGTGAACTCATCCACGGATAATACAGGGCTGAGTACAACACCCCATGATCCAGTCACCTTCCAAGTCCTTTCTCTGAGCACAAGGCCTTGTGCAGACATTCCACACCCATTCCACAGCATCCTTTCTTGACAGGGTGCACCCGAACCAGGGCTCTAGCCGTGCTCCATCCACGTCCAGGATGACGAGAGGGGTGGGAGAGGAATGTGACCCAAAGTAGCAGCAGCTGGAGCCTTCACTTGATTCTGCTGCTCCCCAAAGCAGGCTCTCCTCTTTGGACTAGAAAGCTTCACTTTAGACCCTCAGGAACTCCCTCTCAAAGACCCGCCCTTTAGTTTTCTCCTGCTCTGGGCAAAGTTCCTCCTTCTCTCAGTTCAGACCCATCAGGTTCTCCTCTAAAAAAGGATTCACTATCTGCTCACACATCGGTTCCTCTTGTTTTCTAATGTTGTCTCAGGAGCAGATACTATAATTTATCTGTCCCTGTATTACTGTCCCTGAACAAGAAACTAAGCACAAAGCAGCTTCCAGTTAATATGCAGGTGACTAAATGAACAAGAATACACGGAGATGGACCTAACACTTGTGATTCTTAAATGTTGGTTTTCAAATTGAGAATTTTAGATCTTTATTGTGGACAATAAGTGCAATTCCTTTTTATGGAAAGGGAAGTTCAGAACTGTGTGTCTCTGTAGGTATTTATGTATTGTTGTTTCATGTACATTCATAAATAGTTACAATGATATTTTGAATTTTCAAAAAGTTAGAATCTATCTGGGAAATTCAAGTGAACTTCTCTAACATTATGCCCAATCTCTTTAAGAGGAGAATATTTATATGATTTCTGCTAGAGTTATTCAATCATAAAATAACCCTCTTAAAATTCTCATTCTTCTGCTTTATAATTACAGAATGACGTTCAAAACTTATGGAAAGAAAATGTGGTTATTCTGGATGCCGCAAAACAGTATGGCTATGAAGTAGTTGATACGTTCAGTATAACAGTGGGACGATACAAAGAGTTTCTGCAGGGCAACTGCGGATGTCATTTCCATGAGGTATGTTTTATTGGCTCTCTGATGTTTACAGCTTTTAACTTTTAAAAATTGTATTGTCTGTCTTATTTTGTACATACAAAAATGAGGTCAGGAGATTAAATGATGTGTTCCTCATCACTCGCCAACATACGGAGTCATTACAACTTTGACTGTGTGAATATACCTCTGTGAGGTATTGGAAAAATTGGACATAGACACTGAAAAACTAGCATTACTATTTAGTGCCTGTGGGACAATGGAAACCTGAGGAAGGTTTACCTTCTCCAACAGACTTCAAGACTTCCCGTCAGAAATCTCAACCAACGAGAGTGACAAAACTCTCTAGTTTAAAAATCAGCACTATTTAATGTGCAGACAAATGAGTGGTTTAGTCAATACATAACAGGAAGGCTAGTATTTTGAGTATTTTTTTCTTCCCCCAAGCGTTATAATGATTTTGTTTGTAAACAGTAATTAAGCAGGCTGAGCTCATCAGGTGACAGCAGAAAACCATTTTATTCTTTTCCCTCCTGTCTTTTCAATGTATTATTGTTACCCTATCATTCAAATGAAATTTTGGGTAGATCCCATGTAACTTTAAAAGATCCTATCAATTTCCAGTCCCATCTTGCTTCATAACCACATGTTATTCCCCTTCCTCAGCTCAGAGATGCCAAAGTCTCAAAATAGGGAAAAGAATGCAGAGGATTTTGCTATTTCCCCATTTTGTTTTGCTGCTGTTTATTTATCTTCTACCTCTTTTGGCCTCAAACTAGAGTAGAAAGAGGATGATAAGGACAAGTCTTACTTATGCCATATAGGCATAAACCAGCAACACGCTTTCTAGGTGTAGCATGCTATTTCTCCCTTTTTTAAGAGTGCTTTAGTCAACTTGAAAAGACTCCCCTCTGGGATCTTCTTGATAGATGCAATACCTCCCTTGCAGCTGGGTTCTTTCTTTGACCCCTTGTAACCAACTGTCCTTTATCACTCTGTTTGAAGGCACATTGCTCCTCCAGATATCTTCTGGGAAAATATGCAAATTGACACTAGGCTTGCTTAGTTGTTCTTATTTGGCCTACAGAAAAACTCCTCTGCTGTTGATGGAAATAACAATTAATTTTCAATGCAGCCATTTATTTGATTTTGCTCTCTTATTCTCTCAGCCATTTTAAAGATGACTGATAACCCCAGAGTCTTGTATTAGTTTTAATGCTCGCGACAAGTTGGGCATGTATCTAGCTCTCCAAGTTGATCTCTTGAACACCTTTTCACTTAGTTTAAAGCAATTCCCCAAATTAGACAATTCCCCAGACAGAAGAAAATCAGCATATTTGGAAAATTCTCATAGAATTCTTTTCTTTCTTTTACATCTCACAATTCTTTTGACGAGAGAAGGATTTGCCAAACTGAATTTTGTTCACTCTTTTGAAAGTCCTGCATAGGTTATCCAGACATTGCTTGGAATACGAGGGTTCTTGGATACTCTTGTTTGGATCCAGGTCTCAGGAGATTCCACAGTCACTGAGATGAAGAGTGACTTTTTACCTTCCTATCAGATATCGATGCAGCCATTCTGTTTTGCTTGGCTCCCTTTGCAAGCCAAAGGCTTTCATTATTTGGGTTACTGGTAAGATGACAACTAAAGTCTCTGTGAATATCTCTTCAGTCTGAATATCAAATCCTATTTTGTTCCCCAGATTCTTATGAGTATGCTCAAAGCTACTAACACTGCATTAGCTCTATAATTTATTGATGGTTTCACATTATTCCTTTATTTGACCCGTGGAGCTTTATCTTAGAGAAATGAGAGCCAGCATTTGCAGTAGAGAACGTGACTTTTTAAGTTTGGATCTAGCAGCTTGAAGCTTGCCCATGCTGTTGTAGAACAGGACCTTAAGTTGTAAGATACTGTGGCTACTAATTGCTTCCACAAAAAAACATATACTTACCATAAAGTACTTACCCTATTTGTACAAAGTCAAAATTTAGAAACAAAAGAGAAGTAGCTTGGAAGAGAAAGAAACGATGAACTTGCAGCTGAGCCAGTCCAGGATTACACTTGGTCACAAAAACAAGCTGAGAGTTGCCAAATGCACAGAAATGGAGACGTTTGAAAGACAGCACAAAGATCAGGGTTGTTTTGCCTCTTTTAGAAAAGGCTTATTTATTTATTTATGTTTATATAATGTGTCTTCAATTAATATTTTGGTTGGGGGAGAGTCTTTTTCTTTTTCAGCTTTAGTGTTCTGAAAGTCTGAAAAGGAAATGTTCTCCAATGATTTTCAGTATGCCTCCAATTAAAAACAGAAGATGTCCTTCCCACATGATTGTATTACACATATCTCCTGCCACAATGTCAACTGGTTTATTATACTAAATGTCCTGGAATGTGAAAGCCACAAAAAGACTGTTTGAAACATCAGCACTAAAATATTGCTTTATAAATATTTTCAATAAAACTATTTTTAATTTGCAAAATACTGCTTTGAGCATGTTAGGGAAAATTATTTAATTTTATAACCTGTGTGCAGTTGTCATGTACAAATTGCTTCTTAATTATATTTCTAATGTATACTCTCTTGATGGCAAGTTTACACAACATTATCTCAGTTTTTCAAGTAGGATCATCCAGTTTGAAATTTTTATGATTGAGCTGAAAATGTGATTCTGGAAACATTTGACTTACCAGTTACAATGTAGAGTTGAAAACATCATATTTCTCCATTGACTCACTTTATCATAAAGTCTTTAAGCTAATTCACTGCTTTGACACAATTGTTGTTTAACTTTTGGACACTTTGTACCACTGATATGTCAGTAAGTCTCTGATGGTGACAGTGATTTTTTAAAAATCTTTTTAAACCATCACCAAATATCATAAACACTGTTAGTTTATTGCAATCAAAAAGTTTAAAACTATATATAATGCTACCGACCATAGGGCAGCTAACACGGGATTTCACGAGGAGATACAGGTTCTCTGAAAGGTGGGAGCAGGTTCGGCGATGACAGTCAGACAAAAGCACTCAACACCGAGGTGAAGTTTGCCAATGCTGCTGCAATTTTATTTCTAACTCTAGGTGTTTATATACTAGTTTCAAGGGCACACCTCAAGAGTGATTTCAGGCACAGGCAGGCATGAGAAAGATAGACAATAGTACTGTAAAAACTAAGACCACAAGGTCAAGTTAAGACCACACCTATATACCATCACAAAAGCTAAGACCATTAAGTCAAGGTAAAGTAAAACCACACCTATACGCCGTCAGAAGAGGAACTTTGTAAAACAAAGGACTGGCTTCAGCATGTCACCTTCAGGATCACCTTCAGGACTTCAACGATGTTAGGGAAAATTATTTAATTTTATAACCTGTGTGCAGTTATCATGTACAAATTGCTTCTTAATTATATTTCTAATGTATACTCTCTTGATGGCAAGTTTACACAACATTATCTCAGTTTTTCCCAAGTAGGATCATCCAGTTTGAAATTTTTATGATTGAGCTGAAAATGTGATTCTGGAAACATTTGACTTACCAGTTACAATGTAGAGTTGAAAACATCATATTTCTCCATTGACTCACTTTATCATAAAGTCTTTAAGCTAATTCACTGCTTTGACACAATTGTTGTTTAACTTTTGGACACTTTGTACCACTGATATGTCAGTAAGTCTCTGATGGTGACAGTGATTTTTTAAAAATCTTTTTAAACCATCACCAAATATCATAAACACTGTTAGTTTATTGCAATCAAAAAGTTTAAAACTATATATAATGCTACCGACCGTAGGGCAGCTAACACGGGATTTCACGAGGAGATACAGGTTCTCTGAAAGGTGGGAGCAGGTTCGGCGATGACAGTCAGACAAAAGCACTCAACACCGAGGTGAAGTTTGCCAATGCTGCTGCAATTTTATTTCTAACTCTAGGTGTTTATATACTAGTTTCAAGGGCACACCTCAAGAGTGATTTCAGGCACAGGCAGGCATGAGAAAGATAGACAATAGTACTGTAAAAACTAAGACCACAAGGTCAAGGTAAGACCACACCTATATACCATCACAAAAGCTAAGACCATTAAGTCAAGGTAAGACCACACCTATACGCAGTCAGAAGGGGAAGTTTGTAAAACAAAGGACTGGCTTCAGCATGTCACCTTCAGGTTCACCTTCAGGACTTCACAGTCCGGGGCTCAGGGTCAGCACTTTGGCCGCCCGTCCTCTTGTGCCTCAATACCTCCCCATCTCTAGGAACATCTAATTGTTCCTAACCTTTCCTGGGCCCAGAATACAATTCTACAGATAATGAACAAATAGTAATAAAGACAAAATAGAACAGAATTATAGATGAACCCAATGTCCCCAAACTGCAGGCAGAGAGGCCAGCTATTCTCTTCACGGCTGACTTTGCATGCGGTGTGTGCCAAGGACCTCCAGGAGGCTTAACCCCGTGGGGACGATACCTCTGGTCTGGTTTCTGCCAGGTGACCGGCATTGTCACACAGACTCTACTGGAGTGGTCGTGGCAATATAAGGAATGGTTTGATGATAAACGCCAGGGAAAAGTAGGTACTGATATCACGCAAAACATATTAGAGGACACACAGCCTTTTGAAAAACAGTTTTGCCCTGTGCTTATGAGCCTGCCTCTCCCCACAAAAAGCTTACCAGAAAACAATAGCAAGAATGAGAAACACTTGTATTAGAGTCATGAGAATCTTGTGGGCTGTGGGCTGTATTTATTCCCACAACAGAGTCAAGGACACCTGAGAATTGATAGAATCATTACAATAAAGATTTTGACATTTTTTTTATTTTCTATGTGTTTATAATTGTGAAGTAGACATAACAAACCTGAGTTAGTGAACTCCTAACGACATAGGTGAGATTAAAGGTCTTCGTGCATCTCTTTTATCTGTCAAGGTAACAAAAGCGAGTATGTTGCCACTGCGAATCCATAAACAATTTCCCAACTGGTGCACGTTAATTTTGACTAAAAAGTTCTTGCCGATTAGAA